TCCCTCAGCTCTTCAGCTCAAGGCGAGCGCTCTACCACTTGAGCTACAGCGCCACTTCCGGTTTTCTGGTGGTGTATTGGAGATAGGAGTCTCACGGTCTCTCCTGCCCGGGCTGGCTTTGAACCACGATCCTCAGATCTCAGCCTCCTGAGTAGCTAGGATTACAGGCGTGAGCCACCAGCGCCCGGCTGCTAATTTTTTTGTTGTTATTATTTTCTAGTTTCAGAGAAGCAAAACTCAAAACAGAAGACAATATGATATGGGTAGCTATACCCTGCCAATTTCATTTGTAAGGGAGGCTGCCTGGATCAGACAGCCCAAAGGGCAACTTCTCAGCCTGGGCTTTAGGGGCGCTGATACTCAGGCCTGTTTCTAGGGCAGCCAGGAGCCCAAATAGGGATGGTGGCTATTGTGTGGATCACTTAGATTCTGTCTTAGAGAGTATGAGCTGGTAAGTATGCCAAGAAGGAAACACTAAATAATGGAGCAGAAGTTAAAAGCCATGAGGGTTCCAAGAAGAAAGGCATATAAAGGACTAGGGAAAAGGTTCCAAGGTACTAAGAGGCATGGACATAAGGAGCCAAGGGGGTGTGGGACTGAGGGAGAGGGCGTTGAGGTCCTGAGCACAGGATAGACGACGAGGGGTCTGGGGAGGACCGCGGGAGGAACTGAGGCTTGGGGCTTTGAAGCAGCCTATGTGGGGTAGACAGAATCCAGCTGTAGCCTTCTGCTCAAAGGGCAGCTGCATAACCTTACCTGCCCAGGCCAGAAAGCCTGCTATACTCGGATCTCCTTCATGCATCAACGGGCTCTGTCCTAAGAGTAATTACAGAAGTGTTTGACCCTTTTACTGCTTGGGCCACCATCATCTCTCAGTGGACACTGACCAGAGTCTGGCCTGGCTGGCTGCGGTCTGTTCTTGCACAGGAAGTCAGATCACTCTGCATGGTCCAGAGCACGGCACGACTACCTGGTGCTCCTAGAATAGAAACCTAGATTCCTTAACATAGTTTCGCCCACCGTGCAGCCCTCCCTGCACCTCACCCCACCCCCATGTTCTGTTCTGTTCTGCAGCTACCCTGGCCTTGGCCCTCAGGAAGCCTCCACACCAACCCTAGCACTGTGTGCAGCAGCATGCTGCCCTCCTCTGCTTCTCTATCACCCCACGCGCTGGAACCAACTAAAGTTAAAAACATGTCAAGATACTTGTGACATACAATACAAAGAGTTAGTGATAGGTTACCAACAGGAAAAGGAGCAAAGGACACAAACAGGCAATTCATAGAGAAAAAGAACTGCTTTAAACTAGGTCTTCTGCTCCCTCTGCAGCAGATGACCATTCTGCACCTGCAGGGTTCAGGAGTTCAGTGTGGCGGGTCTGGCCTCAGGGATCAGGCATCTGCAGTATCTGCCGGAGCTGGAGCACTGACTCACAGTCTGGCCTTCCACGTCTGCTCTGGAGAAGGGCTCTCACTCCCCTTGACAGTAGATGGAGAATGGGTGTTGCCCAGCCCTGTACAGTTCTGGGAATCAGAGCTGACACCTACACAGAAATGTGGATTGGCCCTCAGGTCTGTCTTTGTGCCAATACCAAGATGGTTTTTGTCACTATAGCTCTGTAGTAAAGTTTGAAATCTGGTACTTCCAGCTTTGCTTTTTTTTTTTTTTTTTTGCCCAGAATTGCTTTGCCTATTCGGGGCCTTTTGTTACCTCTGTGATTGAATGGCTACACATTGTGTATGTGTATGAAATGATCACATCATAACCCATTTGAAGGAAGGGATAGAACTGACCTTACCTTGAATGGGGGTTTAGCCCTAAGGATTTCTGGCTCCTAAAACCTGCTTTCTGCTTTTAGCTTGTGACCTCATACCATCCTCCAGTGACTGGAAGCTTAATCATTCTCTTGGGAAGTGTTCTGTTTCCTCAGTGTGAGTGGACCAGGGGTCTTAAGTGCTTCTGTTCTAAGCAGAGGCAGAGAGGGAAATCCCAGCAGCCTCAGGGTTGCTTGGGTGAGTGTGAGGGGGTCAGAGCCACCTGGAGCTCCTTTGACTCCCTGTGGGCGGCTCCTTGGAGGAGGCTGTTGGCATGCTGGACGGTGCTTGAGCTTGACTTCAGGAACTGGGTGGTGGCGGGGACTGCCAGTGAGGGTGACGCTTCTCAGGACTGCAGGCTGATTGGCCAGGGTGTGGTTGGCCATTCAGGAAGTAGTGCTGGCTGTCTGAGTTGTCCTAGTTAGCTAAGCTCTCCTTCCTCGGGCACAGCACAGCAGGCCTTTCCTGCCCCCTGGAAGGCAGCAAGATGGTCCTGAACGAAGAGAAGGATGGTGAGTCCCACCCCAGGCCAGAAGAGGACAAACTGGGATGTTTAGAGTGGAGGCCAAGGGTGTCTTGATCCACTTGTGAACTCTTGAGAGAACAGCCCATTTGGGAATAGTAAGGGCCAACCGAGACTGGTTTTACCTTGCTCCTTTAAAGGAAAAGACTGCAGAGCCTGAGTGAGGAGATGACTTTCATTTTGTGTGTGTGTGTGTGTGTGTGTGTGTGTGTGTGTGTCTGTCTGTCTGTGTTTGAGGGGTAGAGACCAAAGAATGAGGAGATTCTATGTGTGTGTAAACCAAGGTCTCCTCCCTCCTTTGCCTTCCCAGATGTTACTTGGTAGTGGAACACCTCCTGCTTGGTAATCACCTTTCTTCCTGTATCTGGGGGCATCTAGTCAGAGCTCTGAAACCTCCTCACATCCAGAGTGATCCTGAGCTAAAAAATAAAGACATTGGGTTGAAAGCACCAGAGAGATTTGGGATGAGTACCGCTCACTTTCTGAAGGAAGAATAGCCGAGGGAGAAGACAGGTCATCCCTTTCGGTGTGAGGTGAAGACTGAGGGTAGGATTCCGCACCACCCCACACCCCCAGTGAGAACAGTAGCCCTGTGAGTCAGGAGAAGACAGCCTGCGACTACTAAAGCCGTCTCAAGGCTCCTGCCCGGGCCCCTGCCTCTGCGCGCCTGCCGCACATGGTAGCGCATAGAGCTGAAGACAAGACAGCAATAAGACATGAAGATTGGCTCCTCTGGGGCTGGGAAGGCGGTTGAGTGGTAGAGCGCTTGCCTCGCATGCATGAGGCCCTGGGTTCGATTCCTCAGCACCACATAAACAGAAAAAAACGGAAGTGGTGGTGTGGCTCAAGCGGTAGAGCGCTAGCCTTGAACTGAAGAGCTGAGGGACAGCGCCCAGGCCCAGAGTTCAGGCCCCATGACCAACTAAAAAAAAATGAAAAGGAAGGAAGGGAGGGAGAGAGGGAACAAGTGGAGTGTTCCCCAGCAGAGCCCCAAGAGCCTGAGGAGAAGAGAAAACAAGCATGGGTATCATACTGCTCACGGAGGCTTCCACCAGATCCCCGCCCCAGAGCACAACCTACAGAGGGTGAGGGTTGATGAAAATGTCCTAGAGAAGTCAGCGCTCCCCGGGCTGCCTCCTGCCTCCATGCTTACCTGGCACTGGCACTGTTCGTTCACTCCAGCCCTGTCTGCATGTGTGTTTGCGTCAGTGGGAATGAACCAGTGTGGTTGAGCCATGAGTTAACTGTCATTCGTTGGATTGTTAGTTAATCTTTGTAATGTTTAGCCTCCCTTCAGGAACCCTCCCTTCAGGACCAAATCCACACTCTCTGGTGTGGGCCCCAAGGCATTTTACTCTCAGAGCTAATCTCTTTCCCATCCAGCTGGTCCGCTGTTCCCTGTGCCTTGACCCACTTGTAACCACTGTCCCCAGTTTGTATGCGTTGCTTGGCATTTGCCATCCCACTGCTTCTCCATTTGGAAATCCAGTTGTGCTTGGAGTCCCAGCTCAGACTCTGACGGACCCTCTGCAGCCTCTCCTTGTGTCCTAGTGTTTTCTGCTTCTTGATATGCATGGCCACTGCCCTCAGGCTTCTGTACCTCTGCTTGCTTTCTGGGCAGAGACTGTGGCTATTTAATTCTCAGCTCCAAACACAGGCAGAGCCTGTGGCAGATGCTGAGGAAATGTTGGCTGAGTGTAGATTGCAGGAGGAATAAAGATCTGAGGCCCAGCCGGGAACCAGCAGTGAGAACCACTTTGGTGATTACCGACACTCAAGCAGGCATGGGCTTTATCTAGGAGCATTGTAGGAACTCTGCAGTCCATAGCTGAGCTTTAGTGTCAGGGTTGGAAAAATGGATGTGGACAAACACTTGGAGCCATGTGCTAATGCTGCGTGGGTGGCAGGGGAGTAGGGACCCTGGGGCCCTCGGACCATATTACCATGGCCCTCAGCTCAGCTGCCTGTACTGATAATTTTGTACAGCCTATAATTAATACAGATAGATATCCAAATGATCCTTGGCAGAAGAAAGATTCCCCAGCTCTGGGAAATAATGCTATTTTAGGAAAATATGTCCCTCCAATATGACATTGGGCTTCCAGTTGCATTTAAAATGCTCACTTAGCCCATTGCACAATTCTCTCTCAGTTCCTGGTGGCCCTGAATGTGGTTTCAGACAAGCTGCTTGTCTTGGGTCTATCAGGAAGACCTAAGGTGCTACAGGTATAGTGAACATCCTACAGATATTTCTCCTTCCTTCCTTATGGATTGGGTTTGCATTTGGAGGATCAAAAGTGGTTGCATTTTATTTTTAAGCAGGAACATGGCTGGCTTTGTACAAAGCACATATCAGAGCAAGAAACCTGTATCGCCATCTGCTGTGACAGTTTTGAGGGGCCTCGCTCTGGTTTGAATTTTATAGGCTTCCCCATTGAGCTTATCAGCAGCCAATATGTATGATGCTATATGGAGGACTGGAGATGCCTTTCTTCTCCATGAAGAAGAACCAAACAGCTGGGTGCCACTGGCTCACACTTGTAATCCTAGCTACTCAGGAGGCTGAGATCTGAGGATCATGGTTCAAAGCCAGCCCAGGCAGGAAAGTCCTGAGACTCCTATCTCTAGTAAACCACCAGAAAACCGGAAGTGGTACTGTGGCTCAAGTGGTAGAGTGCTAGCCTTGAGTTGAAGAGCTGAGGGACAGCGCCCAGGCCCAGAGTTCAAGCCCCATGACCCGCTTCCCCCCCCCCAAAAAAAAGCAGCAAACAGAAACAGGGCATCGATTTGTGCCTGTGAAAACAGTTGACCTTTGTCCATTGCCTTTCAAGTTTGTTCTTTCATTATAGAACATAAAAGCACATCAGGTGGTCAGGTCCCCCAGTTCCCTTGGACCCAGAGGCTGATGGGAGGCAGCAGGTAGGATTTCCTAAGAGGGAGATACAGGTGGAAAGAAAAGCAGGTGGTGTCCTGTTTTATAGGCTGAGGTCTGGGTGTGGAGAGCCCTCCTTTGGCCTGAAGAGTAGTCAGCTGAGGTGAGGACAAACTCAAACTGCAGGCTCAGGTGGGGTCAGGGAGCGGTGGCCTGGGAGCAGGCCGCTCCAGTTTTTAGGCCACTCTGCTGTAGCTCAGAAAGGTTTGTTGGGATGTGTATGTTGCTGGGGCTGGCAGAACTTGCATGCAGTTTGCTGCCGACTGTGTCAGGATGATAGGGCTAGGCTTTCTGAAAAGCTCCATTTCATTTTCCCTGTGGACTGTGGACTCTGACAATTCTCCCGAAGTAACATCACTGAATATACCCTCTTCTCATGTCTGTCTTCCACTCAGTTGAGATTTCCTTGTCGAAAGCATGACCACATCACTGAGGTGTACAGGAGGTCTCCTGTGTCCACCCCGCTGGAGTGTGGGGAAGGGAGCTGTGTCTGTCTAACTGGGGCATGGAGTGGACCTCTTGTGTCCACAACACTGGGGAACTGGGGCTTACCCGTGTCTATATCGTGAGTGTGAGGTGGTGCCATGTCCACACCTCCACAAATGGGGGCCTTTTCATGTCTGCATTGTGGAGTTCAGGGACGGCCAGGGCACCCGCACTTGGCACTCAACAATGCTTGTGTGACCAGACATTTGATTTCTGCTAGACTCACAGGAAATCATATGCTGTCCATGCTTCATTTTGCACACTTGAATATTTAGTGAATCTGATCATGTGTTCATGTTTGTACACTTGGGTTTCTTCCTGTAATCTGCATGTGTGTATGTGTGTACGTGCACATGTGCATGCATGCGTGGGTATGCTTATAGTGAGACTTGAACTCAGGGCCCACACTTCTTCTACTCATAGCTAGTACACTACCACTTGAGCCATGCTTCCAGTCTGGCATTTTTAATAGTTAATTGGAGATAAGAGTCTCTCAGATTTGTCTGCCGGGGCTAACTTTGGACCACAATAATCAGATCTTAGCCTCCTTAATATCTAGGGCTCTAGGATGTTAGGATCCAGAAATGCCTGACTGCAGCTGGTCTTTTGCAATCATACGTTGGATCACAAAGGCACAAGGCTTTGCCGCCCTCTACCTCTTCCTCATTGGTCCTTTTGGGCCTCCCCAATATAATAGGGCTCTTGCTCAATGGTGTCCCATCTGCATAGGACAGGAAATAGGACAGCTCAAGAGCAGCGTCACACTGGCACTTGGGATAGCACCCTGAGTGCCACCTGCAGGAGGCTAAGACTTCATACTTGTTCTAGCACTGGGTTGCTGTTGAGTGGCTGTGGCTGTAGTGGGCCAGCGGCCTAAGCCCACCCAGGTGTCGGGCTGGGACTCCACTCAGTGCCTCCAGAATCTCCTTCTCTCTCAAATTTGAACACTGTACCTAGGCCCATGGCAGCCATGCTAATGGTTGATGTCCTGCTCTGGGTGCTGGTTGCTTCTGCTTTGGGGTAAGGATGCGGACAGCTTCCCTCTTGAGACCTTCAGGCCCTTCTTGGGCCAATTGGTTGTTTTATTAAAAACAAAAACTCTGTTATGCCTCTACATTTACCACGAAATAATTTTAAGTAGAAGGAAGAGAGCAGAATGCCAATACCTCAGTGAAGGGAGACGGAGAATCTCAGCTGGCCCCAAACTCTGTAATCCGTGCTGGGGCCTTGGCCCAGTTAAGTGAACCCAGTGCCTCACACCTCCTGCATAGAGACAGCCCTGTGGGCTTCGTGCGACTGTGGACAAGGAGAAAGTTATCCCTGCCTGTCCACCTTCCTCCTCAGAAGTACTGAAGAAATTAGGTGACCAGTACACATCCACTTGCACAAGTGTCACAGGCCACCACCTGTTCCAGCCAGCCTTGTTCAGAGAATGTTGAGAAGGTGAGAGTGGGCGTTAGTGTTCGGGAAGGATGTGGTAGAAGCCGAAGCCCTAGAAGGGGACGAAACACTTTTTCTTCATTAACACCTCAGAAGTTTTGATCACATGTGGCAAATCCCTGCACCCTGGT